CAAAAATAAATAAATAAATAAATTATAAATCATTCTAAAACTATTTTCAAAACTCACAACCAAACAAATTTTCTCTTTTCAAATCATGATTCAAAAATTCAAAACGCAACTCCACATTCAAATCATAATTCTAAAACTAAATCAAACAAACAAGTGGACACATAGGTGACATGTACACAAATAAAGGATATGGACAGATAGACGACACTTGGACATATAAGTGAATAGATAGGTGACAAACAAATAGGTAGATAATGGACTAGGTGTAAGGATACAAGAAAATCAAAAAAAATTGACCAAACCGATTAAACCAAACTGAACCTACCATATTTGATTTGTTTTTTTTATAAGAATTGATGTGTGATTTTTAAATTTTATTTTTTTCGATTTTCAATTTGGTACCGGATCAAGCACTTTGTGCACCAAACTAAATCAAAATCAATCACTTCAACATATGTTGTATTTATAATATATAATCTAATAATAAAATGATATCAATTAATTAATATTGTCATCCCTGTAACCTAAGTTAGTAAACCATTATTATATATAATCTTAACTCTAAATTCACTACTTTTGAGGTCTTAGTAATTTATTTATTTTTTTTGTGTTTTTATTAATTTATGAATTGGGAAGTTTTTATTAAATAGATAGATTGAATATATTTGAAATACTGAACAAATTAACTAATTTAATATTTTTACATAAATTAGTAATTGTACTAAAATGTTGCTCAAATTTGAAAGGTCTTAGACCAATTTACACACACTAAACCTAACCATTTCAATTAGTATGATTTGATAAAAGAAACGGTATATATCAATAGTCAAAATAATAAAATTGACATTATATGTTCCGTAGAAAATTTTATTTTAGGGATTGTTTGGGATGTCCTAAATAAGTGCACTTTTGACTTTTTATGAAAGATGGGTTGGATTTGACGTGATGTGGTCGAGAGATGATGTGACTCAAATACGATACTATGATTTAAATAAGAAAATGACTTTTTGACTTTTTTTTGAAGATGTCAAATCAAACCTAAATATTGAGCCGATTGCATCCTTAACTGAGGGAGGACAAATGTAGAACTAAATTGAATCCGGGCAAAGCTTCCCTACATAATAAGGTAATATGTGCTTCTGGCCCAATGATCGAGCTTAAATTAAGCGAGCTCAAGAAGTAATCACATATTCCCAATCCATCCATGTAACCCCTTAACCAATAAAAATAAATATATTTATATCATAAAAAATATAGTTTTTTAATTGATAAATCCCTTTAGAGGTATTCTAACACAATAAGTCTATCAAAAAAATTATAATCTAGTTAGTCTTATATATTTATACTTTTATTCCATGAAATCATTTTTTCCTGATTTATATTGTTTGTTGAACTATTATATCCTTATGTCTATTATTGATATGTGTTACATAAAAAAATAATATACACATTTCTTTTTTGTTACTACCTATTTTGGTAGTTATCATTATTCACGTTTTTCTTTTTTTATCAGTTTCATTCACATTTGTAGTATTGTTTCATTGAGTTAGGGTTTCGAAACTCTATATTTGGTAGGATTTAAAAACTTTAGTTTACACATGGCGGTGAAATAATATTATGTTCTTCCATTGTGTTGCCGTGAAACTTTGTGTTCTTCCATTGCCACTTAGTGTTCGAAGTTTTGTATTTGTCCATTGTTACCCTGCATTCGAAACTCTATGTTTCTCCATTGTTATAAGTTGAAACTCTATATATGTTCAGTTAATTTTGTTATAAACATATTCTTCAAATGTGGGTTTGGTTTGATTTGGATTGGTGGAATGGTGAAATTGCATGGATTGTTAATGATAGTGATAATGATCAAGATGATGATGAAGATAAGGATGTGGGCGGTTTTTTATTTTTATTTTTAGAGTGATTGAATTTTTATTTTTTTATTTTTTTTTTTGAATTTCTAATTCTATTGCTGCTATTGTTTCTATTTTTTTTTTGTCAATTAGTTTAAATATTCACGTTTCACATCATTTGAAAGTCTGAGAAATAAGTGTTGGAATATAGATATAGACGTAATTATATATTTTGCAAAATGTGAATGTTCACATATTATTAGTTATCTGTTATTATACTTGTTGTTTGAATAATAATTTTTTGTTACCATTAAACAATTGAAATAGTGATTTTTTTTTTTTCAATTTTATTTCATGTTGCAGTGTAAATGTGCACATTCGTATGAATTTAGTTTTTCTAGGATTAGTTGTGTGTTAATTGTAAATGGTGAACATTCGCATTGAATTTTTGTATGAGTTTTTTTTTTTTTTTTTTTTTTTGAAGTTTTTTCATAAGTTAGTTGTATTTTGTTATTTTTTTTTTTATTATGTTTGTTGGTTGAACAATCATTTTTGTTATTATTGAACAATCGAAATAGTCGATTTTCACTTTTTTCAATTTTATTTTATGTTTTCAAGTTGTAGTGTAAATGTTCACATTGATATGAGGTTTTTTTATATATAAAAAAAAAAAACTAATTGTATATTAATTGTAAATTGTAAATATTCACATTGTATTTTAGTATAAGTTTTATTTTTTCGAAAGTTAATTGTATGTTTGTTATTTTTGTTACTCTGCTTGTTAGTTGAACAATCATTTTTGTTACCATTGAACAATTGAAATAGTCAATTTTCACTTTTTTTCAATTTTGTTTTATATATTCATGTTACAATGTAAATGTTTACATTAATATGAGTTATTTTTTTTAAGGCTAGTTATATGTTAATTATAAATTGTGAACATTCACATTGTGTTTTGGTATGAATTTTATTTTTTCAAAGGTTAGTTGTATGTTTGTTATTTATTATGAACATTCACATTATACTTTAGTATGTGTTTTGTTTTTCAAAAATTAATTGTATGTTTGTTGTTTACTGTAAACATTCACATTGTATTTGGATTTTCATTCAGATTTTTTGTTCAATTATTTTCAAATTATAAAAAGGTTCAAAGTTCATAATTTGATATTTTCTCCATGGAATACGGGAGAGATTTTCTCCTTAGAATAAATTTCTCGATTAAATAAGGGAAAGATTTTCTCTTTAAAATAAGGGAGATATTTTTTACATAAAATGAGAGACTATTGTTATGTACTATTCGTTTCAAAATATAAACATGTGCAAAAAAAATTAGAAATGATTATTTGATCATATTACATTAAATAGGACTTAATAGAATACTAAAAAAGAATATGGGTTAGATTGAATAAAATACTTAAAAAGAGGATATATCAAAAATTGACCCTAAAAAATATAATATAATATCGATAATTTATTGATTTTAGTGATTTCTTATACTATAATTTAGTTAAATTTTGAGTTTTTAATTTTGTCAATTTAAACTCTAAAATTTTAATGTAAACTATTTATTTATTTTTATTAAGTAAAATCGATAGAAAAATAAGTATTTTAATAATCAAACTCAATGTAAGTATCTATATACACTGAGTTCAATGACTAAAATAAAAAAAAAATCCATCGATTTTACTTAATGAAAATAGACAAATGGTTTACATTGAAAAGAAATCAACATATTAAAGTTTAAATTAACAGCATTAAAAGTCATAATTTATTTTGTTAAAGGTTCAAATTTTAGAAATCTTTTATAATAATTATCCCTTTCTTTTCATTATTATTTGATTAATTCAATTTCACCTATACAAAATATTGTCAAAATTACCAAAGTCATTTGAATCATATCGTATCGTGCATTTTTAGAGGTCTGGCGGGACGGGTTGGACGGATTGAGATTCTGGCGTGTTGGGTTGGCACAGATGGTAGAGATGGCAATCTGAAACCGGCCTGACGGTGACCCGACCCCCCGACCCCGAATTCAGTGGTTATTCACCGAAAAATATCCTCTACGGGCCGGGGATGGTATTCAAAAATTCATCCCCGATGATATCCGGGCCGGGGACGGGGATAGGTGTTTCAGACCCGGCCCTGGCCCCGACCCCCGACCCCGGCCCCACCCCGCTCAATCCCCGAGGTGAAATTACAGTTCTGTCCCTGGATATATATATTTGTTTAGGGTTTCACACACAGACACAAACACACAGAGCCTCTGCCTCTCACTCTCACTCTCACTCTCACTCACTCACTCACACGGCGCTCCTCTCTCTTTCGCTCGCCATCGCCACTGGTCTCTCCCTCTCATCTCTTTCATCGGCCACCAACGCCCCTCCCTCCTCACCGGCGATCCTCCGTCACCACCGAGCCTCTCACTCACACACGGCGCTCCTCTCTCTCTCTCGCTCGCCACTGGTCTCTCGCTCTCTCTTTCATCTGTCACCGCCAAGAAGCCCAAAACATACAATTCGCTCGCTCGCTCGAGCCAAGGTTGCGTCTGAGCAAAACCTGAAGACACGAAAAGCTCGCTCGAGCGTACAAACCCTCGCTCGAGTGAAGAAGCAACAACACAAGGCTCGCTCGAGCGACAAAGTTCTGGCTCAAGCGAAGAGACTAAAGGCTGGACAACAACCATTTGTTTCCAATCACAACCAACCTGTTACAAACCTACCCAACACATCCTAAAACTTATACACAAAGAATTGAAGGATGGAAACAAGATATAAGCAACAACCAACATCACGGAACCTAAGTCAGGAATACAACAACCAAAGGGTTAACAAATTTCAACGAATTTTTCTGTGTAGGAATTATTTTATATATTTCTGATGTTGAAGATGATGGTGTTAATTTGTTAGTCATAACATGTTAGTCATTTGTTGAAATTTGTTGAAATTAATTTGTTAGTCATAACCTGTTAGTCATAATTTTGAAGATTAATTTGTTGAAATTTGTTAATTTTGAAGATTAATTTGTTAGTCATAACCTGTTGTGATTATTATTTTGATGATGTTATTTTGATTATATATTACATATCAAGAGAACAACAATCCTAATAGTAGAAAAATTAAAGTAGGTAAAATTTGCCAATCCACCACCCGTCACGTGAGGAAGAACAATTAAAGTAAGGTGTGAAATTCATTTATTTTGCTAGTAACATGAAGCATGTGTTGAAAGAGAAGTAATTTTCTTATGGAAGCAGGCATCCATGATCGTTCTTCTTTTTTTCTATAGTTTCTGTAAGAGAATATAAAAAGCATCGTATAGGTAAAATTGTAGCCCAATTAATTGCATCAAATTCAAGGTTTTAAAAGGCGGCCACAACCATTATGTAGCGCCGTTACGTAACGGTTGTGATGGTTAAGGCCACCCGTTACGGCTGCTTTTGCAGTGTGATTGAGATACACAAGTGTGTCGGCAGTAGTGGCTGTCGTAGTGGTCGTAACGGTGTCGTAGCAGCTGTAACGGCCTGTTACGCACCGTTACGTAACAGTTCCGAACCGCTTCTTTCGAAAAAACACACAAAAAAAAATAAAAATGGGGTAAGAGCAAGGTTTTAAAAAGCAGCCGCAACCGTTACGTAACGCCGTTACGTAACGGTTTTGGCAGTTACCGCTACCCGTTACGGCCGCTTTTGCTGTGTGATTGAGATTCACAGGTGTGTCGGCCGTAGCGGCTGCCATGGCGGTTGTAACAGCGCCGTAACAGCCGTAACGGCCTGTTACGCACCGTTACGTAATGGTTCCAAACTGTTTCTTTCAAAAAAACACATAAAAAAAAGCTGAAAATGGAGGAAGAGAGATAGAGAGAAGAGGGAAGATAAGAGAGAAAATGAAAGAGCAAGAGATAGAGAGAGAGAAGAGGGAAGATAAAGAATATGTTATTAATTTGTTGAAACTGTAAGACCTATGTTATTCTATTCAGCTACTATCACTCAACCATTTTGTTTGTATGTGTCCATCTATATATTGTTTGAAAATAATAATAATAATAATTGTGATCATTATTTATTTAGCTTGGTGAAAATATGTATATTTATATATATATATATATATATTTAGGCACTTATTTATTCCCTTACTTTTGTTATTGTTTATCTTATATATAATAGTTAGTGATTGATTTTTTGTATAATATAAAGTCATTAATTATTGAAATAAAATGTAAAAAACTCAGTTTATAGTGATTTAAAAATATCAAATATATTGCATCATACTTAAAAATTTACAAAAATTGATCAATATTTATTTTTAACCCAATAAATATGATCATGGAAAAAAAATATGCGTATCGATAAGTTTTTTCAAATTGTGCGAAAAATAAAAAAATTCACGGTTCCGGTTACCGCAACCGTTACACTACGGCCTTTACACCCCGCAACCGCAACCGCGCCACCGCCACCGTTACGGCGACCGCAACCGCTTTTCAGAACCTTGGGTAAGAGGGATAGAGAGAAGAGAGAAGATAAAGAGAGAAGATGGAGGAGCAAGAGAGAGAGAGAGAGAAGAGGGAAGATAAAGAACATGTTATTTATTTGTTGAAACTGTAAGACCTATGTTATTCTATTCAGCTACTATCACTCAACCATTTTGTTTGTGTGTGGCTATTTGTATATTGTTTGAAATAATAATAATAATAATAATAATAATAATAAGTGTGGTCATTATCTATTTGGCTTGATTAAAATATGTATATATATATATATACATATTTAGGCTCTTATTTATTCTGTTACTTTTGTCATTGTTTATTTTATATATAATAGTTAGTGATTGATTTTTTATATAATATAAAGTTATTAATTATTAAAATAAAATGTAAAAAACTCAATTTATAGTGATTTAAAAATATGAAATATATTGGATCAGACTTAAAAATTTACAAAAATTGATTAATATTTATTTTATACCCAATAAATATAATAATGGAAAAAAAATATGCGTATCGATAAGTTTTTTCAAATTGTGCGAAAAATAAAAAAATTCACGGTTTCGGTTACCGCAACCGTTACACTACGGCTTTTACACCCCGCAACCGCAACCACAACCGCAACCGTGTTACCGCCACCGTTACGGCGATCGCAACCGCTTTTCAGAACCTTGATCAAATTAAAAAAAAAAAATTATTAGTTTGAAAAATGTGAAATTTAATATTAAAGAAAATGGGAGTAGGGATAGAACATGTAGTCCAATAAGATGATTAATGGAAAAGAGCTTGACTACTATGCTAAGAAGCACGGACACTTCCAAAAAGGTGGCGTATCCGTGTTGTGTCCGGGTCGGACACCGACACTCATCAGACACTCTCCCGACACGTGTCCGACACTCATCTAAACGTGTCTTGATTTTTTATAAAGAATTTAAAACTTGGACACTCTTCGGATACTTGAAGGACATGCGTGTCCATCGACTAGACACACGAAACTAATTATAAGTTTGAACAAAATAACTTAGAATAAGATAATAAAGGAAAAATAACGTTAATTTATAGAAATTAGTGTTATAATGTATTTATTTATCGTCTTAGAATGACATGTTCATATATATGACATATAATAAATATATAAAATTATATATTTTGTCCGTGTCCTCCACGTGTCGTGTCCTACATTTTTCAAAAATTGCTGTGTCTGCGTGTCTGTGTCGTATCCGTGTCGTGTCACGTGTCCGTGTCCATGCTTCTTTGCTACTATGCTTATTTTATTATTTTTATTTTTTTTATTTGAGGAATGTTTGAAGTGGAAGAAGTGTGAAACACGCAATAGTTAATTTTCTTGGAGTTTTTTTGCAGAACATGTCACATATTAAGTTAACTGAATTAGGGATTAATGTTCAAAATATACCTCTTTTGATTAATAGAAGGAAGTAGATAGCGAATGTAAAATCAAATTAGTTTCTTTTTAATCTTTTCTTTTCTTTTCTTTTTGGTGCTGAGTGTAATCCCTCTCCGATTTTTAATCTTTTCTTTTCTTTTTCTTTTTGGTGCTGAATGTAACCCTTTTTTCTTTTTTCTCTCTTTGATTGTTTTTTTTCTTTTTTCATTTGCCTTCTCTATCTGATTATTTTTTTCTTTCCTTTTTTGGCTAATTAGTTTTATTTGATAGAACAAATTAGTTTTATTTGAAGAAAAAATCAAATTGTTGACATTGCTGAAATTCTTAATTTTAATGATATGTGTTTATTAATTTTATTATAGGAATCAATTTTTTATTTTGAAATATGGTAATGGCTTCTACGGGTGGTAGTCCTAATGACATACCTGATGATGATTTTGACGAGAACAAAACATTGTAGAAGTATATAACTAAATTAGCAAAACCTGGGGAAGGAGAAGGAAATTGCCAATTACAATGTGATATTTGTAATAATACTTTCAAAGGTTCATATACAAGAGTGAGGGCACACCTGTTAAAACTCCCAGGAAAGGGAATTGGTGCTTGTAAGAAAATTTCCATGTTCGTGTCTGTGTCCATGCTTCTTAGTGTTGTGGTTTTTCGGAAGAGTAAAAGTTGTGACACAATGTCAAAACACTGTCTGCATCATTTGAGCTGTTTACATATATAGATAGTATAGAAGATATACAAATATATTGTTTATGGATGTATCCCAGTTGTAGCCGTATCCTATGTTTTTTAAGTTTTGCTGTATCGGCATACTTGTAATGTACCCGTACCCATATCCACACCCGTGCTTCATAGACGACTCCTTAATCTGGAGGCCAAATGGATAATACTGACAGTTTTTTGTATCTAAATAGAAGGGAAAGTGATCAAATTTGACATACAATCCTATCGTAGCCTTCTCAGAAGTATGCATCAATCTATATAATAGTGGCACATCAATATTGGGCCATGTTTTGGACATCATGCCCAACTCCATAATAAAACGTCCTAACGCAGTAAGGATTTCAATGTATTGGACATTTCATTTTTCTGTTTTTAATCAAAACTAGCACATAGTCCATAATTCTTGTCTCATAGGTACACACATACACATATTTCTGTTTTTCTACAGATTTTCTATATAGAAGCAATACTTATCCCCAACTGTTTAGGTTGAGCAACGTAAACAAATTGTATCAATGTAATAACTTGTCAACTCAAAAATATTTATGTCCTACTTTTTTTAGTTTGTAAATGTCTTTGTTTTACTTACTGTATCCGTTTTGTGTTTCTGACTACAGAATCATGTTAGAAATAAGAACTCCCAAAACCAGAAGAGCCAAGCGAGCAATTGAGAAACGTGCTCCCAAACTTGTGAGTTGTCTGGAGCTCCTTTCAAAGTTATTAAGAATTAGGCAACAATTTTTTCATTATCTAGAAATGAGTAATCACATTCAATGAAAGTGACCATTTTTTTTATTCTGAAAATGTGTTTTTGCAGGTTGAAAATGGGAAGAAAACCTTAATACTGCTTGGTACAAAAACAAGCAATGTACTGAATGCCATTTTGACTGAAATTTATCATCTTAAAAAGAATGATTCTGTTAAATATTCCCGGAGGAATGATAATATCAGACCATTTGAGAGCGGCGGTGAAGCTTCTTTGGAGTTCTTCTCTCTCAAAACTGATTGCAGCCTTTTTGTGGTATGCCGAAACGTTGCACATAGATGTCTTTGCAATTTTTTGCTATTTAGTCAATATGATATGTTGCTTGACGTTCTTTGTAGTGACTATGAGTATACTCTTTAGATGTCCTACTATAACCACTAAATTGAAAAATCAATTATGTTATTGAATAGGTGAAGTATTTTCACCAAGTCCAGGACAAACAAAGAAAGTATCACCTGGCCTAGAGTTACAAGTCCTTAATAGTTCAGAGTACAATGCTTATGGTGCTCCTGAATATCATTTATCTTATACTGTATCCCTTTTAGTCACTCCACACTTGGATACAAGTTGTAACCATTCAACCATTTTTATAAGAAACCACTAATACCCTAGCAATTTGCATTCTAGAACAGATATTTCGAAAGCTGATACACTTAAGTCCAAAACGGCACATTTAGCTATCCAAAGTGATCTCAAGTTTTTTCCAATGTATTTTGTTAAAAAGATTTCATTGGGAGGGGAAAAATATAATGAACTAAAATGTAGAAAGAGTGGAGTTAGCTATGAAAAAATGTAAATACACACACACACACATACACATATATATGCAAGTGTTAATAGGGATGTTGTAATTACACCTCATTGTTAATACCCTCATGTACAAAATTTTCTTCGTGAAATACAAGTCTTACAATGCATAAGGTGGGTGTAATGGGAAATTTATTGGGTGTAAATAGAAGCTCTCATCCCAAGTTAACTACACTAAGACCTCAATTATTGGTGGGTCTCTCTTTACTTCCTCATCTATAAACTAGTACATTTTGATCCTCTCAACTATAAAAAATAATGTATAAATGGGCCCTTCTAGAGTGTGTGAAAGTGAAGATTTTTATAGTTGAGAAGGTTAGAATGTACAAGGTCATAAATGAGAGGGATGATGTGATATTTGCTAATATTGGGCGGTCTTGGTGTAGTTAACCCTATATATAATGCTTCTAGAATTGTGTATTTACATGATTAATTTGAAGAATAATAAACTAGACATTGTTGCATCTATAATTATTGCCCACCAAAAGAAAATTTTTCTTTTTTGGAAGTACCTTAAATTCTGAGTGTTTTTACACAAGCCTACCCTTATCATACTACTTTTTAGAGCATGTGGCATACCATGTTCTATTCTCGTTCTTTGTACTAGAATGATCTATTCCAATCCAAGTAATATAGATTCAACCTAGTATCACACTTATAATTTTTCATTTTTCTCATAAAGGTCATGCTGGCGAGTGTTAATGTCCCTTTGCTGTTTGCACAAGTTTGAGTGTTAGCATGATTCACTGTTATCAATATGATATATTGTGCTTTCTTCACAAAAGTCATATGATTATGTTTTATGCACTATCTTTCCCCCTTTCTTGTCCAAACTAGGTAAAATACAGCATGGAATACATTGGGCTTGTTTCGTTTGTTTTTGGGAGAGTCGTTTTTGAAAAAAAATTTAGGGAGAGTTTAGAAATTTTTTTGGTTTGTTTGGTTGTATATTTTGGGAGAGTTGTTTTTTTGGGAGTTTGGAATGATTTGATATTTTGAGAGAATTTGAGTAGATGTGTGAGAGAAAAAGTGATTGAGAAGGAGAGAGGAGAAAGAAAAAGTGATTGATTGTGATGTGTAAGAGAGAGAAAGTGATTTTGGAAATTTTTTGAGAAAAACTCAAACCAAACAATTTTTTAGAATTTTTTTCCAAAACTCATCTCCCAAATGCAAACCAAACATACCCATTCATTCCTCCTAGTTTTAGAATTAGAAAATGCTTGCAGATTTGTTCTCTTGCATCATCAATTACTTTTTTGCCCTTGAAATGAAACGGTTATTCTCATATATGAGAATATGTGTGTGGAGTCCATATTACATTAATTCCTTCTAGTTTAAGAATTAGAAAATGCTTGCAGATATGTTGTTCCCTTGCATTATCAATTCATTTTTACTCTTGAAATGCAATTGTCCACCCCATACATGAGAATGTGTGTTAAGAAAACTGTTGTCGAGTACTATTTCTTTGTTGCTTATTTTAAGACTGGCATCTATTTGAATGTTTTTTGTGATGGTATTTGCAGTTTGGTTCTCACTCAAAGAAGCGACCCAACAATCTTGTTATGGGGCGAACATATGATCACCACATTTATGATCTTGTAGAGGTTGGTGTTGAGAATTTCAAAAGCATGGACTCATTCTCGTACGATAAGAAATTAGCTCCTCAAATTGGTTCAAAACCTTTCTTTGCTTTTATTGGAGAAGGATTTGAGAGTGAAGAAGAGTTGAAGCATTTGAAGGAAGTTTTGCTTGATCTATTCAGGGGACAGGTGTATTTTTGTTGCTTTCTATCTTTTTCTTTTTCAAGTAAATAATCTCCTCATTATCCTTCTTTGCATTCAGTATAGTGTTGTAAAAAGCATGTTCTCTTGATACAGGTTGTGTCAAATCTGAGCCTTGTTGGGCTAGACCGTGTTTATGTGTGTACAGCTGTGTCTTCAAATAAAGTATTCTTCACTCACTGCGCACTGCGACTTAAAAGATCTGGCACTGTAGTCCCAAGGATGGAGCTTGTTGAAGTTGGTCCCTCCATGGATTTGTTAGTTCGGCGACATCGTCTTCCTGATGAAAGCCTAAGGAAAGAAACTATGAAGATAGCTCCTGAATTGACTAAGAAGAAGGTTTGACACACTCTCTCTCTCTCTCTCTCTCTCTCGCGCGCGCGCGTAATGGCATGTTTTAAACGACAATTCTTTTTTGTTGTTTTAGGAGAAAAATGTCAGTGGGGATGCTTTACAAGGAAAGATTGGGCGAATCTATATTCCAAACCAACAGGTGAGAAATCAACAGTAATACTTTACATTATTTTATCAGCTAGTGGAGTATCTAATTAGTTTAGTGGTGGAACCTAATTAGTATAAATAGAGAGCATGAGTGATTGCCTAATCTGTCCTCTTCATTTATTTATTTATTTTTCTTTTGTCCAAGCTGTAATCTTATCCTTGTGCGAAACCCTGAACCTGCACGGATAGTCTGGTGGTTAAGGGCCGGTTTTGGGACAAACCATACACTTTGATGTCCTAAGTTTGAACCCTGTTGGCTGCACCTGGTCTTGTGTACTAGTATTGCAGGTGGGTCATGTATCTGGGGTATACCCTGCCTCTGCACATTATAGGTGGTCATATATATAAGAAACCATTTATAAATTTGTGAATCTTGCCACGAGTAGCCATGCTGTCTTGCTGCCTTTTCATTTTATTTATTTATTTTTATTTTTTTATAGCTCTCATGATTTTGCAATGTGTATAGGTTGGAGAGAAGGTTCTGCCCAACAAAGCAAAGGGAGTGAAGAGGGAACGCCGAGAAGCTAAGTTGAAAGGCGAGGCAAAGAAGCAGAAGCAAGATTCTTAAGAATTCTAAATCCTTGATTGGCTGCTGTGATGTTTTATGCTTTCTAACTACTCCTGATTTTGCTGGTGGGTGGGTTTTGTTTTCTGTTTTCACCCCTTTATAAAATATTTGATTTTATTATGCAGTTTACTTTTGAGTGTATCAATCAGCCAAAATATCCTTATAGCATTTCTTTGTTAGATATAACTTTTGGGAGCAATTTCAATAGGGCCTAAAATGTCTGTTTTGTGTAGGAGCATTGTCATTTGTTGCTCTGCCAATGTATGTCACTTATTGGCACTAGATGTTGCAAATGTATGTCTATTTTGCAGACCAATTATTACTATGATATATTTGCATTTGACTTTCCTATTTGGGCAGGCCTAAATTTATTGTGCTTTGCTGCGATGTCCTACTGTCCAGTTAGTTGTAAACATATAAAAAATTTGGCTCTAATTATGAGCAAATGAAGGTTGGATACAAGTTGTTAGAAGAGAGAGAGAGAGAGAGAGAGAGAGAGACAACGGCAAATTTTTTAATATAACATTAGTCTTTTCTTATATAATCTGAGTATTTTCTTGTCTGCAAAGTTTACAACGGCAGTAGTTACATAAATTGTTGATTTTGAATATTGGAGGTTACAATTTTACTTTAGTTTTTATTTATTTATTTATTTTGATGAGGTTACTTTTACACGATTTTAATTTGATTTCCACACCAATCTAACCTGTTCATTTATATAATAATATAGATAATTTCACCTTTAAAGTTGAGTAAATGTGATTCTTGTTTTTAGAGTTTCTGTTTCCACAAAAAGTTTGGTTTGGATTATCAGGATTTATTTTTCAAAACGTTGAAACTTTTGGTTTTTCGTTTTTTTTTTTAATTTTTATTGTATTTTTTTAGGGTGAAACACTTATAAATTTCAAAATTTCAAAATGTGATTTGGTGAAAGGTTTAGTTTCACTTTTTTTTTATAAACCCAAAAGTTTCATTAAGTGAAAATTACATAAAAAGTAGTCACTTGCATGTTTGGGTTTAATGTTTTAGGGATAAAAGTGATTTTCTCAAAATGTAAAATTATACATTTGGATAATTTGCACTATGAAAGTTTTGAATTTTCTCATTTTAGAACAAATCACACATTACGAACAAAAACTTAAACTCTAATGTAACACTCGAATAATGTAATACTTTACTATAACACGTTAAAAAATTCATTGGTGTATTTATCTAAACGTAACAGCGTAACACTGAAAAAAATTCTTTGGTATATTTTTTCCAAACGTAATGTTCCAATGTGGAAGGAAAAAAAAAACCCGTAGTATACTTTTCTCAAACGTAACACTTTAATCAGTGTACTATCAAACGTAATATTTCAATGTAACATATTCCAATCTAACACACAAAAATACCAAAAAAATTTCTTAGTGTATTTTTTTTAAACGTAACACTTATAATTTGAAATTATTCATTTATTCAAAACTTATTAAGGAACATTTGTACTCCTTTTGGAATGGTTTAAAGAATCTCACACACTACAAAAATTTCAGTTTTTCTCGACGGCAAAGTGCCCTCGCGAATACCCCTAATGTCGTCTCAAAAAACTTTTAGCGATGACAAAAAGGGGGTCACAACAGAGGGTGTTGCTGAAACGTTTTAATGACGACCTTTTTTTTGCGACGGCAAATGTGCTCTTTTGCGACAGCGTTTTGCTATCGCCTATAATACGTAAAAAAATGAGACTTTTTGCGACGATAGTGTTATACCGTCGCTAAAATTTTTATTTGAGACCACAACACAATGCTATCGCGATATGTTTGTTTTGCGACAGCATGATCTCCGTTGCTAAAATTCTTTTTGCGACGACATTGCCTGTGTCGCCAAAAAAATTAAATTTTAGCTCTATTGTTTTTTACGACGGTGTGGTGCCATTGCAAAAAAATAATAATAATAAATAAATCAAATTACCTGTATTAAACGAAAAAAAAATTGAAAAGGAAATCAATAATTGCATAATAATAATAATAATATCATGTATAGAAATAACAATTTCTCCATAATAAAAATATTCTTGCATTCATAACTACACATAAGCAAAATTACCTCACTATATAATGTTGCATAATACATATATAATGTTGTTTACAATTCAAAATAACATAAACCAAAAATAAAAATTTTCCTCATTATTCTCCGCGGATAACAAAAACAAAAGTTAGTCGCATTTTTCACAGATATGCATTCCACAAGAAGCAAACCCCTACTCGGGAAATATCTGACAACAAAAAACAAAAATAATTAATGACAATATAATTATGTGTTAATATGTTCTCTTTTTTAGAAAGGCTATGTGTTAATATGTTAATTACAAAAAAAAAAATATAAAAATCTAACTACTATACGATTACAAAGATAATTAAGTAAATAATTTTGCCTAGACTGAAATCCGGCTCTAACCCCCAAATTGGGAACCCGATTTGAGTCTCGTCTTCTCCCATAAGTCTCTCGTGCCAAGGTGGTCGTATGTGTCAAGTTTCGTGCTAATCCAACGCCATTTGGTGATTTTGGGGTTTTAACACCTCGAATTTTAAGTTTCTTAAAGAACTAGTTGGCCTAGCCTGAAATCCGGCTCTAACTCCCAAATCGGGAACACTGATTTGAGTCCTGTCTTCTCCCACAAGTCTCTCGATCCTAGGCGGTCATGTGTGCCAAGTTTCGTACTAATCCGACGCTGTTTGGTGATTTTAGGGCGTTAACACCTCGAATTCTAAGTTTCTTAAGAAACTAGTTTGTTTAGACTGAAATCCGGCTCAAACTCCCAAACTAGAAACCTGATTTGAGTCTCGTCTTCTCCCACAAGCCTCTCGTGCTAAGGCGGTCTCGTGTACCAAGTTTCATGCTAATCCAACGCTGTTTAGTGATTTTGGGCCGTCAACACCTCGAATGCTAAGTTTCTTAAGGAACTAGTTTGCCCATACCGCAATCCGACTCGAACTCCCAAATTGAGAATCCGATTCGAGTCCCGTCTTCTCCTACAAGTCTCTTGTGCCAAGTTTCGTACTAATCCGACGCTGTTTGGTGATTTTGGGGTATCAACACCTCGAATTCTAAGTTTCTTAAGGAATTAGTTTACCTAGATCGAAATCCGACTCTAACTCCCAATTCGAGTCTCGTCTTCTCCTACAAGCCTCTCGTGCCAAGGCGGTCGTGTGTGCCAAGTTTCATGCTAATCCTACGTCATTTGGTGATTTTGGGGTGTCAACACCTCAAATACCAAGTTTCTTAAGGAACTAGTTTGCCTAGATCGAAATCCGGCTGTAACTCCCGAATCAGAAACCCGATTGGAGTCCCGTCTTCTTCCACAAGTCTCTTGTGCCAAGACGATCGTGTGTGCTAAGTTTCGTGCTTATCCGACACCATTTGGTGATTTTGGGGCATCAATACTTCGAATTCTAAGTTTCTTAAGGAACTAATTTACCTAGATCAAAATCCGGCTCTAACTCCCCAAACCGGAAACCCAATTCGAGTCTCATCTTCTCCCACAAGTCTCTCGTGCTAAGGCGGTCGTGTGTGCCAAGTTTCGTGCTAATTCAGCTTCGTTTGGTGATTTTGGGGCGTCAACACCTCGAATGCCAAGTTTCTTAAGGAACTAGTTTGCTTAAACCGAAATCTAGCTCTAACTTCCAAACCGGGAACCCGATTCAAGTCTCGTCTTCTCCTACAAGTCTCTCGTGCCAAGGCGGTCGTGTGTGCCAAGTTTCGTGCTAATCCGACGTCGTTTGGTGATTTTGGGGCGTCAACACCTCAAATGCTAAGTTTCTTAAGGAATTAGTTTGCCTAGAGTGAAATCCGGTTCTAACTCCCAAATTGAGAATCCGATTCGAGTCCCGTCTTCTCCTACAAGTCTCTTGTGCCAAGTTTCGTACTAATCCGACGCTGTTTGGTGATTTTGGGGCGTTAACACCTAGAATTCTATGTTTCTTAAGAAACTAGTTTGTCTAGAGTGAAATCCGGCTCTAACTCCCAAACCGGGAACCCAAATTTGAGTCCTGTCTTCTCCCACAAGTCTCTCGTTGAAGGGATTTTTTTGTCCACGATGGGATGGTTTTTTTTATTTATTATTATTTATTTATTTATTGTTGAGGGGTCTAAGTGTATGGCTTTAAAATTAAGGGGGGTAAAATGATATTCAATGATAGTTGAAGGGGCAAAGTGTAAATAACCCTTGTTTTTTTCCATGATTAGTCAGAACAGTCCCTGATTTTTTTTTTTTTCATAAACAGAACAGTCCCTGATGTTGATCAATATATGTATGTACATATATTGATTAGCATGAGACTTTACTTCAAAAATATTAATAAATTAAGTTTCATTTTAGGGGACTGAAATCCATGCATAAACTGAAATTTAAAAGCTTCAAATCAAGCCATCCAAACTACTAAATACTTATAAAAATAAAAAAAGTAGATAAAAGTCAGCAATACCTGGTATGCAACATCAAAAAATGGAAGATAGTTTTTTTCTTGAATGACATCAGCAAATTTTTCCTATTTTTCTGGGGTTGGATCAATGCCAGTTGGGTTGTGAGCACAGCCATGAAGCAACAAAAAAGATCCTTCAGAGGCACTTTATATACAGACACATTTTCCTTAATATACAATAAAAAATGCATCTACAATCTAAAAGCTCATTTCCTTAATATATAGGCACACTTTGTGCCTCAACTAACTACATAAAAATAAATTTAAAAAAAAAACCAAAACGAAAATAGAAAATAGAAAATTTCTACAACTTAATAATTGGTGACTACTCAAAATAGAAAATTTCTCATACTATGCATAAATAAAAAGTAATGCACTTACCTTTTCATCCAATGCGTGAATGAAGCTTTCTGTAGGACTCATAACTCTTCCAGAGGGAAGAGGAAACTCTATGTCACCCCACTTGAACTCATAAATAAATAGGATTAGATAGTATCACAATAGGGTTATTTTAAATGGAACTTTTCACAGATCAATTTATTGTGTATCAAAATAGAATGTAAGGAGGAGGAGGAGCTCACTTTTTAAAGTTCTTAAAGGCAGCAGTGTCATCCAACTCTCCCCTCATATCCAATGGGTATGGCTCTCTATTCACCAGGGTAAAGGGATTCATCTCAAGGAAACTGAAATCCAGATCTATAGATAGAATAGCAAAAACAAATATCATGTGAACAATGTCAATGTTCTAAGAAAATAGAAGATAATTGTCAAACAAAACATCAACAAAAATCATTCTTGTGACACCAAAGAACTGATAATGAAGCGAAAAGCAGTTGGCTCTCAAGTATTAGACTTATTCACCTAAATATTCTCCTTATAATGGAGGTAGA